CAGGCTCATTCCCAGACTGGTCAATATGGAACTGCCCACATATGGAATTTCAAGGTGTCACTGTAATCATTATTAGCCAGTGAATGTGGTTCGATGGGAGCAGACATTCCCAAATGACCTTTTCCCATCAATAGTACTTCCAGCTTGGCTGATAACTGTGGGTACCTAGACATGGTAGTGTTTTGTAAGCATCACCCTGCACACATTAACAGCAGTTTTTTTGGTTCTTCATCCATTAACCTATAGATTTCAAAAGATAAGGACTTGTCATTGAACATGTTTCTAATGGGAGTCAGTGTCTTCATGGCTGTTCCAGAGATAAATAAAACATCATTTGCTAATAACCATGGCAGATGGAACATAGATTGTCTGTCGTTGCTATTTCCCGCTTCACCAAGCATGCAACGTGATCTGCCTTGCCTGATGAACTGGCCCCAAGCAGATACAGAGCAGAGTAACAAAAAATTCATCTAAGATCATGCCAGTGGAGGGCTGGGGGGGCACTTCAGCCATAACACTTCCTTGGGAAAGGTGTTGGAGTGGACAAGCAATGAAGTCCAGTTTCCCACTGAGATGTAGAAGCATGAAGGAAAGAGTCAGTGTGAAGCAGGTCAGGGACTTCACCTCCTTGTGCAGCCCAGGCAACAGGAGAGACACCTCTGCCACCCACAGTCTGAAAATGATTTAATAGGAAAGAAAATTAAAACCTTTTGGAAAAACTGTGAATAATCCTTTCATGGGCTCAGATGACTTGGTAATAGTGTGCAAATACACCCATGGATAGAAAAAGACCTAAGAAGTCTCTTTGCTGCAGCAGAGGAGTAGAACCAGCACCTTGTCTGGAAGCAAAACCAAGGCTACACAACAACCAGGCATGATATTAAGGATAAGGCTGATTATTCACTTGAACAAATACTGATGAGCTGGAAATCTCTTTGATGTTTGCAAGCCAAATGACTTTGTGGCATATACATTTTAGTAAAGAATGAATCATTAGCCTGATTACAGGCATATCAGTGTAGACGTTGTGTCCCCTCATGTCTGGCCATTACCATGTCTGGTATTATGAAGAATTCAAGTAATATTCTTCTGTAAACCATTCTGCAGCATCTATGTGTCTCATTAACATCGTTGCAAAAGGAGCCTGCATGGTGCATTTATTATGTCATTTTAGAGGCACAGCCTTTCCCCAGCATGACCAGCAATGGTACATAGTGTAAACACCCACACAAAACAAGAGTCAAACTGTGATGCCTCTTCCACATGGATTTGGGCAGGCAGCTGCAGGGTCATACATGTTTCTCCCTACTTGGGCCACAGTGTTTTAACTCATGCATTTTCAGAATAGCACCACATTTTCCTGAATGCCAGGTAAGGCCAAGTGCTTGGGTGGTAAGCAGGGAGCACTTATATCCCCCAGGGTGCAGCTCCATGCTATGGGTGCCCCCTCCTGCCACCCTCATATGGTCTCCCCTCACCTGCTTGACATGGCTCTGGGTTATACTCTTAGGCTGGGTGTGTCACCCAGGGAAAACACCATCCTAGATGGGGTGCCACCCTTTACAGTTATTGGTGATGAATCAATCACAGGACAAAAAAATCTAAATGTGGATCAAGGATTAAAGGTTTGAAGCATTTTTCCCTATTTCTGGCATCTGTTGGTTTCTTCACAATCTCGTCATTGTTTGGGCAAGTGTCTGCTATAAATACACTTAGATCAGATGCTCTGAGATCAGCATCTAGAGTAACAGAGGAGAATAAAAATCTGTTTGATGCTAGAAAGAAAATTTCTTTTAGTTCTTGCAGGTCAGTGATTCATCCAACATTTCAGATGAAAGGAACATCTGAATTCATGTCCAGTGGAACTTGCTAAGGAGATACCAGAGGTCTGCAGTCACTAAAGTGAAGACAGGTTGATATTGAAATGAACTAAGTAACTTGTCTGTGTTCCCTAACTCTTTAGCTACCCCTGTTCAGTGTCTTCATGACAGCACCAGCTTTCCACAAAGTAAAAATTTCTAGGGAAACCTGGGAACAAGCCCTGGGGCTTTCTAGATGGCAGTGGAAATATTGTACAAATGGCTCTGCACCTCATGACCTGGTAACCTTCTACCATTGCATGCCATATGTAGGATATTCCACATCATATGAGTGTCTTTATGTTTGGATATAGTCGAAATTCCCCATACATACTAACTCTGCTCCCACTGAACTGTTCTTTTAACAGAACTGGGTGGGGTGAAGAGGGTTATAATATTGTGTTGGCTGATAACTTTGGAGATGATTGCATTTTTGTGTACAACTGGCAAATGGAGTACTGACTACCATCCATCTGCACCAGTCAGTGTCAGATGGGACATCACCAAATTTCAACAGGTTTTCAGAGAGCAGAATTCAACCCTGCAAAGTTTGTTCTGGTCCTAAAGCAGACCATCAGACTGGCACTTGGGGGATTTTTATGCAACATGATTAGGATGAGAGACAAGCACAATGGAAATTCGTTGTAGAGCTTGGTCCCTGTGTCGTGGCTCAGTCATCCCCTCTAACATGGTGTCCCTTTGGGCTCCAAGACCTTGGCCATGGGGGGGAAAACTCTCTGCACACGCTGAAATCCACTAATGTCTGAGTATTTGCTACGAGAGCAACCAAGGCCCTGGGTCCATTTGGTAGGTGCAAAAAGGAGTGGTAAAATTGCACTAGCTCTGATGAAGCAACAGAAGAAATGGTCTTTAGCAGTTTGCATTTGTTCTTTCCTGAAGAGATCTCAGTTTGCCCCAAAAGGCTGCATTTGGCCATTCTGTACATCTGTGAGCAGCTCCAGCTGTTGTTTCCTGTATCTTTGCATTACTCTAGTCGACCAAGATAATACCACATTCAAATAACAGCAAAGACTGTAAATAAAAGCTGTTTATATGCCAACAAATTACAAATATGTTGACTCCAGAGGCTGATTGATTACAAATTATTTATATTTTGTAGCTGCATTTTTCAGTGCTACCAGACTTGCTGACAGTACCATCCCACATCTAGTTGTAAGCAACAGGAACCATTTAACCATTTAATGGCATTTTGATTACTTCTCACAAAGCATCCTGCAATGCATCAGCTTGCTTTCCAAATATCTCATTC